TGAGAGAGAGAGAGAGAGAGAGAGAGAGAGAGAGAGAGAGATAGAGATAGAGATAGAGATAGAGATAGAGATAGATAGAGAGAGAGATAGACATAGAGAGAGAGAGACAGACAGACAGACAGACAGACAGAGACAGAGACAGAGAGACAAAGAGACATAGAGAGACAGAGAGAGACAGAGAGAGAGAGACAGAGGTAGAGAGGGAGAAAGACAGACAGACACACAGACGGCGCGCAAAGGAGGTTGTGCCGGGACGGGTATTGGCTCACGGACTTGAGGTGGGTGGACATGAAAGGAGGCTGGCTGCCCAGATCAGTGTTTACTTTTCGTTTTGCAACCACGAGTCATTCAAGAGGTCAACCCCACAATTTTCCGGCATAACCCAAACCTACCCCGCTTTGAAGGATTACTTCGCATTACATTAGCCTGACAATAGCAGCACAACGAAACCTGTCTCTGCTCTCTCTCCCCCCGCACACACATTGGCGTCGCTACGGTGATCGCCGCAACTCCACCCAAAGGTGATCTTCAGTCGTGGGCCCTCTAATGGGCGGGTATGCGCCAGGCCGCCCTACCCAACCTGTACAAGACACATCATTGAGCACTCTACCCTGCGTTTCCAAGAGATTCCTCCTCTCTGTTCTACATCGGTTACCCCGCTCTAGACAACCCGCCACCAATACCATAGGCGGGCCCCCCGGCTATCCGGACCTCCCTGGTAAACCCAAGGGTCCTCACGGATAGTTGATGGTATGGTACTACTACCCCCCCCCCCCCCCCCCCAATTTAAACCTTCCCCTTTCCCCCCCCCCCCCCGGCCCCCCCCTTTTTTTCCCCCCTTTTTTCCCCCCCTTCCCCCCCTTTTTCCCCCCCCCCCCCCCCCCCCCCCCCCTACCCCCCCCCCCCCTCCCCTTTTTCCCTGGTGGTGGTTTTCCCCCCGGGGGGGGTGGTGGCCCCCCGGGGGGGGGGGGTTTTCCCCCCTTGGGGTTTGGGGGGGGGGTTTTTTTCTTTTCCCCGGTTTTTTGGGGGGGGGCCCCCCCCCCCCGGTGTCTTTTGGGGGGGGGGGGGGGTTTTGTTTCTCGGGGGGGGTGTTTTTTTTTTTTGGGGGTTT